TATATACATTATATTCATTTGACATATTTAGAATAATATATTTTTTGGCATTTATTATTTTTTCTATATTAGTAACCATTAATATATCTCACGCGTTACTATTTTGTTAGAAAAATAAATTATATAGAAGAATATATTAGCTGACGCAAAATATCTGAATCATATTAAATATATTCATCATTTATAGAGATTTAGAAAGTAAAATTTAAAAAGCGCCTTATATGCAAAAGGTTTCTTACACAATATATGGTTAATATAATATGTATGTCAGTTATACTTTCAAAACTTAAAATGCATATATTTTATATAAATATATTACTCCATTGTGAAACATTTTATAAATGTAAATCTATGTGATAATAATCTTATAAGAAACAGTAAATATAAGGAACATGTATAATTAATTTAACAGAAACAAATATAAATCTTACAGAATATTAACATTTAAAGGAATTAAATTATGCATACATATTATTTACAGTGGAAAATACATATATTCATATATTTTAATAAAATGAATTCTATATAATTGTTAGCCTAATATATAAAAACCGCATAAATTAAAACTATAATTAATATAAAACCAGATATAAATATTTTAATAATACGAATTATAATAATTTCATTTTATCGTGATATTTGTTAACATAAATTAACTAATGCAATATCTTCCTACATGTTAATTCTCTCTAAAACATTTTCTGTTTTATTATTGCATTTATACCTATATATATCATACAATAGAAAAGGCCAATTTAATGTAACGAAATGATTATGATTAATTTTTATAACGTTTATTATTTTAATGCATTGTACATATATAAATTTATATATTATTTTTTACTGAAACAGTTATAATTTAAAAAAATAAATAATTCAATTATATTACGTATCTAATGTTTAGAATACTATATTATTGTATTTAAAAAGTAGTTCACACTTCAGAATAGGAATAAAGAATTATAAAACTGTATTATTATATTTTTAATTTAAAAAAAATACTATGTATGTAGCATTTGTATAAAAAATATGCAATTTTATGGGTTTTTATAAAAGTTAATGCTAAATAAAAATTAAAGTATGGCTTCTTTTTACATATATAATAAGGTCAGAATATTATATATAATTATACATCACATAACATGTTATAATAATTCATTATAAAAAATATGTGTAATTATATATAGTTTAATATGAATTCATGAAGACTAAACAATAAATTATAAAAATATAAATATTATTAAAAAAATTATATTCACATGCTGACTCATATCTAGTTTCTGTTTTTTTTTGTTCAAAGATAGGTAAATAAATATTAAATAATAAAAGCATTCCAAAGGAATATATATATTTATTTAATTGATTAATTATATGTTATTTTTCTATACCTATATATTTATCTAGAATAACATGGTAATTCACATTCATGGATTTTATATATGAAAATATGTTTTAAATAGTTTTAATTAATATAATGCACTTTAATAAATATATGTATGTGTTTATCATAGGATCATTTTCGTATATACATAAAGGAAAATAAAAAGAACAGGAAAATAAAAAAAGAAATAATATACGTTCCTTCATTTTATGGACTCCTTATTTTTTTTTCTTTAAATATTATTATATATTATTTTTATATAATTATATATTTAGAACTAACTGCTTTGAGAACTTTCTACTTTAAATATAATAATATTATATTTAATATTTTTTTTTTTTTTGTATATTTCACTTTTACATTACATCATTTTTTTTTATCAATGAGGTATGATATATGAATTTTATGAATCTATATATATGATGTTATGATTTAATATATAAATAAAATATTATTCTTTCTTAGCATATATTTAAGTTGAATATGCATAGAATTCATATTTTCAGTATTTAAATATATTTATTCTAACATTTGAATAAATGTAACAATCATATAAAACAAAAATTTTTCACACTATTTAAAACTGTGAAACTTGAGACTTGTTATAATCGTACATATAAGGTATTAACAATTTTTACTAATGTTTTGTTATAAGAAATTGATAATATATATATAAAATAATAATATATTCTCTATTAGAACTCATAATTACAAAATGTATTCTTCAAATATATAAAATAATATAAATTTTATTAATTATTATATTTTTTGCTTAAAATGATTATTTACTATACCATGCCCTTTCAATGTAATATATATAATTGATTTAGAAGCTTATACAGAGAGTAAAGTGATAATAGGAGTAATTATATTCTACATCTGAGAAAAATTTATTCAGGATAAATATATTTATATAATATATAATGTATTCAATAAGCCTTATATTTTATCAGTTATAATTATCTTTTATGCCATTCAGAAATCGTAATTTTAAAGAAAATATTAAAATTCATGTAGGATTAATTTTTCCAAAGTACATATATTCAAATTATATTCATATTTTAATTACAATGTTTTATTGTTTCTAGAAAATTGCATTTTATTATATATTTATTATTTTCTTTTTTTTTAATATATTTCTTCATAAGATTTTTTTATTCTAGTTAATGTACAATAACTGACACATGAAATTATATTTAATGGTGTGTGTTAATGTATTATATTTAATTATAGCAATATATTAATATAAAAATATTATATCTTATCATTTACAATGTGCATTTATATATTATTTATTTTTTTATATGCTAAAAATATTTATTGTTTCTTCTTGTCTAAATAAGTAGAAATGGAAATTGTATTTGTTATTGTAAATTCCTAAGATTCGGGTTTTTTATTATTATTTTTTCATTAAATTTTCATATTCATATAATTGAAATTCTTTTGTACAAAAAATAACATTTTTTGTATTATTTAAAAAAATAAACCGAAAACCATAACTAAAATTACGTATTTATTGGTTATAGCTAATAGATCTATATGCTATTTTACATGTATTATCAGTAGAATTCTTGTATTCAAAATCAAATGTGTCCTTAAAACACAGATTATTTTTGTAATTTTTTTTCAACTTTTTTCTTAATCTTTTTGCTCTTGAGTGTAAAAATGAAAAATAAGGGGTATACTGAAAAAAATATTTAATAATATTTTTATATGTTATTTTTCTTTTTTTTATATAAATATATTTAAATTATTCTTATGATAAATTATAATACAACATAAATTTATTAAATGAATTTCGTTTGTCACCTTATACAAAATGAATACAATAACTAATATTGCAAAAGCTAAAAATCCTATACCTGTACCAGTACCTGTAGTAAAATCCGTTTGTGCTCCTATGACCTCTACACCTTCTTTCGTCAGTGATTCTACATTCAATATTCCATTAATGTATCCATCCTTAGTGAGATAATATAATATAGGATTTCGTTCATTAAATTTTTTCAAATATATTTTATATTGATCTTCATATTCTTTCAATAATAATCTAATACTCTCATTATTCTTAAATTCAGTTTTTTCAAGTAATTTCATAAGCCTTATAAATTCTTTTATGTCGGAATAGTTTGGACTATGATAATTACTGATGAATTCATTAAATCTATTAATTAGTTCATCAAGATTACCAAATATAATAAATGTATTTTCATCAATATTGATAGGGTACTTTATACATACATCAGGTATTATTGTACCTAAATTTTTTATTACTATTTGTGTCATTTTTTCATAACATTCATAAATACCTTTACAAGTACAATTACATCTATTCAGTAATAATTTTTTTAACTTGTAATAGAAATATTTGCAGCATACTTCTGGCTTAAACATAGATTCATTATTTTTTATGCGATTTAAATATACAATCAGAACTTGGCACCATTGTACAAAATCCTCAGTGTTACAATTATTATTTGTTACAGCATTACGAAATTGACTACACAATCTTGTAAAATGATCAGCCATATTATCACTAAAACGCTGATATATTTGCCATTTATAACCACTTGTACATGTAGGAAATATACCTGTAAAATTGAACTAAGGATAAAAGTCATAATATATACAAAAATTAAAAATATTTTCATAAATAAAATAATTGTGCCTGGATTTCGGTAAACAATATATTTTATAAATATATTATCAATTAAAATTTTTGTAAACAAATGAAGCATACTTTTTCAATCTGTTTCTTAGCATCACTCATTATATTATATTTATTTTGATTGTTAAATATGGATCATTATATATAATATATAGAAAAATTTAATTCTTAAGAATGTCAGAATAAGTATTTTATTTATATCATATGTATTAATTCATGAAATAATTTTATTTTTACATTATATTCAAAATTTTGTTAAATTATTCATATATTTAAATAATGTTAGTACTATATTTTCTATATAAGTATATTATTCTTAAAAAAAATTACCAAAAAAAAAATAAATGCATTTTATTTGATATATAACATAACGTCAAATTATGAACAATATGTTTTTAATACTATTATATTTATAATGCTATTTTAATGAAATTTTCATATCATATAGTAAAATAAATTGATTACGTAATATAATCAACAATTTTAATATATAATATTTGTTTATATATCTTTAATTGCTTTATCAATTTAATATATATATTTCTAAGTTCAATATTCTTTAGTTTTAGCTCACGCTTTAAGATTTAATGTATATTATCTATATAATTCCTTATATATAATTTTTGGATTTATTTTCTAAATCCTTTTTGTTTTATCAATTATTTTTTTTGATATATCATAATCATTAAGCTTTTATAAAAAGTATTATGAATAAAAAAATTAATATAGCATAATTTATATGATTAATATTTAAATAATTAAATGATATTTTTTAATGATTTTTTATTATAAAGCTAAAATAATATGTTTATATTCTACATGGTAAATAAACATTTTAATTTAATATATATATATATATATATATACTTATGAATGTATTATTCATAATTTACATTATCTTATATTCATATTTCAACGATTTTCATTACATATACAATGAAAATAATAAAGAAAAATTTTATATTACGTATTATATATCATATAGTAATATGTTTCATAATATTTATATAGTTTTAGTTATTGAATTATGTTATATAATTGTTTTTAGAAATAATTAACAAAATATAACGAATTGTTATTGTTTAGTTGTAATATATTTTTTTTTGATATTTGCTTATAATATGTTACACAATGCAAAATTATTTTTTAATATTATTATATGTTTTTTTTGTGTAATTTAAAAAATAAAAATTATTCTTGATCAATGTTCTCAAAAAAATTAATATTATGTTGAAATATTTTAAATAACACCATGTGTAATCATATACATATATAGGAAATAATAAAGCCATTAATGTTATATAGCTTGCTTTTCCAATAAAATTAGTAGAATAATAATTTCATGATAATTATTTCGTACTTTGCTAAAATAATATTTTAATTAGTCAAAATATCTATTATTATTTATGTTCCTATTAAATATTCTGAATAATATGGAATAATAATTTTTATGTAAATATACTTAATTCATATGTGCATAATATGCTTAAAAAAATAATTTATATATTATAAATATTTTAAAACATATATAAATAAACAATATAATAAATCTTTAAATCTAAAGTGTCGAGTTTTATAGATTTCATTTTAATTATGAATTACAAGAGATTTTTTATGTTTTAATATATAAATATTATTAAATTTATTATAGAAGTTAAATAATCTAAATTTTACATTCACGTATATATAGTTAGATGTATATTTTCTCATAATAATAAAATCTTACAGAGTGATATCATTTTTATTTATTATATAAAATAATAATAAATTTATTATAATAGTAGGATTCGTGAAGCTTCAATTAATATGTTATAGAATATAATAAATTATATGTAACAAATTAATATATATACCATGAAAATTTTTATTTAATTATTAAAAAGTTAATATATAAGAGAGGCATAATTATTTTGTAATATATAATTTATTTTACAAAATGTTTCTTTAATATATTCTTTTATAAAATCATAAAATAACAAAATAATATATAACTCTAATCATATATGGTAAATGTAATACGTATAAGGGCATGAAAAAAATAATGCTCTTATTTTTTATTGTACAGAATTTTAAAAGGGTATTTTATTCTAATTCATGAATATATATCATTCTTTAATCATAAAAATTAGAATTCTATTATCGAGATTCTATGTAGAAATATAAGCTACGCCGATTCTTTATATTAGATTATCTATTTTTTATTTACCATTCATGTATTAATATATATTTCGTCCTATTTAATATTCTTCATATTATTTAAAAATTATAACCTATTATAATTCTGAGAAGTAATAGACTCAACTAATTTGAAATGTTAAATGTAGTATATTAGTTTTAAAAATATATATCCTCATATGAATGGAATAAAAATAGTAATATAAAGCAAACTAAATTAAAATACAATTTAGATACTAGTGCGTACATTTGAAATCATCATGTGTGTTCAATATACATAAGAAAATTATTAAATACTTATTAATACACAAAAAAAATAAATAACCTCATAAATGAGCATTTTACAAACCTTTTATTTATATCATAATATGTTAAGACATAATATATATTTGGATTGTACATTTAATATTTACTAATAAAAACAATTTTATCGCTTTTTACGAATTTTATATGATATTAAAATATTTCAAGATTTTCGAAAAAAATTTTTTATGCATAAATATTTTTTATAATGTAGGAGTATATTTAGTTTTCTGATGTAAATATTGCGAACATTATTGCTTTAAATATAATTCTAATTACTGTCTTAATTTTACCATGGTTTTTATTTAATTTTTAATTCTTTTTTATATTATATTTAAAAATATACTAAATATTTTTATAATATATAACGATCGTATTCTAAAATATAAATCTGTATGCAACAAAAATTATTCATTAATTAGTTCTGAATTTATTGGTTTATATAGGCTACATGTAATAATTTTTTTTCCTACTGTTCAATTTTATAATACACATGTGTTTACATGGTCATTTTTAATAAGAGATATTACCATAAAATATACTTAATTATTTTTATCATCATTGTATGGATGTAAGATATAAAAATTATCTATGATATACATATTTGTGCTATGTACTAACATTACACCTTATTAAATAAGAAACGCTTAAATTTAAATCTCTCTAGAATACCAGATGTACAGGTAATACAAGAGTCATGTAAATTATAGATTTATTCGTAACAAAATTCAGTGATAACTGTGTAGCCTGTAGTCAAATCTGATCCATTATATAATATTACATTGTGACCTTTTTTTCAGAAACTGGGAATACTCAATGAAAATTATATTTATCATTATATATTATAACTTAAGTGTCTAAATGAATATTAAAAGTTATATTTTTTTACTCTTATTCCTTATACTATAAATTATAGATATTTTTTCCAAAGTAAAAATGGTACTGCCATTAAGTGGAGTATATATTCGTATAACTTCATTACTTACATAATTATAACAATAAATAATTTTATATAAATAATTGTTCCTTGTTCTGTTCTTCATAGATATAATACAATAATTGAATTCATAACTTGGAAAAAATTATATTGATATTTGTGAATATAATATGTTTGTTAAAATTCATTCCAAGTGTAATCTTGCATTAAGAAATAAATATAATAAAATATATTATTTAATGCCATATTAAGAAATAATGCTATTTTTGTGTGTTCTATATATATACAATCTCTTTATATAAACAAAGAAAAACTAAAATACGTATTATTGATGATAAAATTGTTAAAAATATATATAACTATTATTCTGTATAACATAATTTACATACTATATTAACATAAATTAAATTCTTTTAATCATGTAATAAAATAGACGTATTTAATAAAATAACTTTGTTTAAATTATTATATATTTATCGTGTTTTATTTATTTAAGGGGGTTTTAGGTTGTAATTGTAACAAATTTATATATTATAATGTAGAAACGCAAATATGTTATTTCTCCCTTATCCAATATTGTAATATTCAATTAAATTGATATTAAAAAAATATTAATAAATATACGTTTCCATATAATTAAAGCATTATATTTATAATTATTCCTATTCATATCACTAAAATAAAGTACTTTATATTGCATCTCATGTATAATGAAAATTTCATAAGAATTTTTGTGATTCCCATATATAAAATGTTTTTTTTTGTTATATATATGTATATATTTATTTCATTTGTAATATACATCTCTATATAAATAATTAGGAAGAATATATAAAAATAATTATGCTTTATGTATATATATTTTTAATATATTAAGTAATGTGCTCATTGTAAGGATTTTTATTTGTACTCTTATCATATCTATAACATCAAGAATTTTTTAAATGTTTCAAGATATATGATCAACGAAATATTTTCTTTTTCTTAATTACATAATAAATTATGTATGAATATATTGCAGTTATATATCATTGTCTTAAAAGATAAAATTATTGTTAAAAATCTAAATATATAAGAAACAAACATTATGTAATATTAATTCATAAAATTATTATACACTATAGTATAAATTAACCCAAAAAGCATCTTTAAGATGTGCATGTTAAATAAAGATGGAGCTAATAATGATATACAACAAGTAAATTCAAGTATATATGGGAAATATATGTTACATCTAAAGACGAATAAGAAAACATTATTGCCATTGATTAAACATATTTATAACAAAATATATGTAATTTTTTTTAAAAATTATCATCACAGTAGAAGTATTTTTTTATACAACATTGTTAACACACTATAATAATAATTTTTCATATAACAGATGTAGCTTTATCTAAAATCAGATCATATTATTGGGTTTATTTTGGAATATTTTTTAAATTAAAATGAAAAATAATTTAATTTTTATGTTTTCTAATAACTCTACTTTATCAATATATTTGCAATATTTATCAATTTCCCCATAAACGAATTGCAAAAATATTTTATCAGTGCTTTGGAAAATATGAATTTATATCAACTACTAACATTTAAATTTATTTCACAAATACCTATATTCAGATTCTTAAGTTTAGAAACTATTTGAGCATAGTTAACGTAATTAATTTTATATCTGATAAAATGTATATATTTATTGAGAAAAATAAATTACTTGTAAACTCTTATGCATTATAGGCGAGTTCCAATATATACTTTAATTTCTCTATGTATGTAATACTCCAAATATTATAACTGTCTATATTTATATTATTATATATTTCTTTGATATTATTAGGTAAACGTAAAACAAATATCTCAACAAAAAGTTTCATTTTATGCTATTTTCAATATTATAGATTCTAGATAACTTTAGAATTTGTGTTATGTATAATTTTCTAAATTGAAGCATTGAAATATTAACGTTTTATTATACAGATAATTTTTGCTTATATACATAGTACTCTTGTAAGATATAAAAGATACAACAAGTTCCAAACACACATGCGAAAAAAAATAATGTTGTGTAGTAAAAATACTTTGGAATACCATTTCAATTTATCAATATTTTTTAGTGCTCATAGATGTAATGTACTTTAGTATATATATTAAAGAGACATGCAAAAATATACTAGTTATATATGTATAACAAGAAAAGAAGGTAAATTACATATATCTAAAAGAAAAATAATTTTATGTATAAACAATGCTGAACAATAAGGAATAGTTGAGGAAATAGTATATCAAAATAATAACAGTAATTATACTTACTATATTCTAAGTATATACATGCAATATTCATTCAATTCTTGTTATTACAGCTATCTTGTTGTTATTATAAGAATACCTTTTATATTAATTATATAACATTTAATATGAATTATAATATAACACATAATAATATAATATCCTACGTATAATTGCACCCTGAATTATATAATTATTTTCATTGCATTATATTTTATCACTGTTGAACTTTTGATATATGGGAAAAAAAAAAATACAGCTTGTTCCATTTAAGAAACAGTTCATCCAAGATTGTATAAATTATATTTTAGTAAACGTATGTTGTTTCTCAAAAAAATAAGATAATTATATTAGACTATTACATTATATGATATTAACTACATCATTGAATACACACAAATTTGAATATAATTCAAACTACCTCAATTATTATACTAAATAAAATGTCCTATATTAAATAACATCAAAGCATATCAAAATTATATATGTAGCTAATAATATATTTATATTCAGGTGATATAACACTTATTGATAAATCAAAATAATTATAGATAATAAAACTACAAATTCAATATTTATCTCTAATTTTTTATTTATAATAGCTAAATTCACTAAATACAACTATATTATAATCATTCCCCCTAAAAAATGATAATTTGTGAAGTTATTATTATATTTTAATTTTTAAACATAATATTTATTAATCCTTATTTACCTATATAATATATCCACATTCTGTTATAATTATATCATGTAATTGTTCATTACATACGCATTTTATGCATAATAACAATAGTGCTAATTAATGCAGTATTTGAATATAAAATGTATTATTTTTATTTATATTGAATAATATGATAGTAGTATTATAATTCATGACGTAGAAAAGCATACAACTCTCGTAATTAATATGATGCAATAAAATACTTTTTCTAAAGAGTTTTATAAAAAATTATAACATTATATGACATATACATAATATCATAATTTCCTTGTAGGTACAATTTTTTTTTTGTTTTATATTTCACATATAATTAAATTATTCACTAAAATAGTAATTTCAAAAAATAATATCTCTATTTTGTTTATGATTATGTTTTATAGTGAAAATCATCTATATCACATATATAGTGTATTTAAAATTTTAACGGACAAATCATATCATGTGTAAAACAAACTGTGTGATTATAATATGCATATAAATTTACATGTTAATTACCTATTTCAATTTTAAAATATGTTGTATATTACATATTTTGTGCTATATGATAGTCAAAATGTTACATTTTGCACATTGGAAATGAAAAAAAAAATTGATATAATAATAAAATATATATAGGAAGTTTATTCATGATTAATTTAAAAACATTAATGTAAATAAATTAAATAAATTATACTATTTATTTTATAAAATGTTAATATTTTATTTTTCAAATAATTTATGTTACACTAAAAAATATTATTTCTTAAAAATATGATGCATATTAACTTATATATAGTAAGTTCAATTAAAGAGTATAAATATATAATATATAATGAAACAATATTTATACATAATAAGTAGATGCTAATAAAAATAGCATATATAAAAATCCGAAAATATTTTTTTCCTTATTATAATAAAATAATAAAATTAATAATTTCTTATACAGATACAAAAGATTTATTAATATTATATTAGTGCTTATTATTAAAACTTTAACAAAAAATAAATAAAACTATAGTAATATTAATTGTTCATATAAATATTAAAAAATATATAAAATAAAATATATTAATTTCGCCTTTATATATATATTTTATTATTTTATGAAATATCTCATTTTAATTATAACACATATAAAATAAAAAAATATATATATATTGTAAAAATGTTATGCATATACCAAAGAATACTACTAACAATATATATCATAACATTACAATAAGAAAATAGAAATAATACTCTTATTTTGTATTGCTTTAAAAAAACTTGTGAAATTATACTAAAACCTAATTAAAAAGCTAAATTAAAAATATTATATGGTAAAGCCTGTATATTAGACACCTAAATCATTAACTAAAATCCTTAAAACTCTGAAACCTAAAAATGAACACCTAAAACAAAACCCTAAACACCGAACCCCTAAACCCTAATACATAAAATCTTTATTATACAATAATTGAAAAAAATATATCGTATATCATATGTCATTATTACTATATACTACACTCGATAAAAAATATGATTATGTATTTCTATCTTATTTTAATATGTATTGCATAGTTATACAAAAAAAGGAGTTTATTATTGTTTATAAAATCTATCTATATTTTTAAAAATTGATAAAGAACCGTTAGTAAATTTCTTTGTTATATAATTCATCTTTAAAAAAACATTATTTTATAAGAGATGATCTCTATTGTATGATAATGTTATTAAAATACGAGTTGACATATTATAAAACTAATATATGATATAATATGTTAATATTATAGAAATTTGATTCATAGAAGTTGCTTACTCTCTTACCATTATGTTTTTTTCTTTTTAGGATGAGGTTCTATCTAAATTTCCAGAATGTAAAAGAAGACTTGATGAAAAGGTACATGACTCTATAACACATGAAGGAGGTCTTAGTAAAGATAAATTATGTAAGGAAAGTAAGTATAAATTAAAAGATTTAATTCGAAATATATATGACCCAGAAAAAATATGTCTACAAGTTCAGGAATACTTAGGAGAAATAAATAATGAGTTAAATAAAAGTTTAAATAAAGCAGCCTGTGCATACTTTTATTACTGGATATATGATGAACTTCTTAAAGATGAGAAAAAAGAAATTAAAAACATTCCAATTATTTATAATGAATTTGTCGATATATTTATAAAAACAATCAAAGAACATAATAATATTTGCAAGAATTCTGATGATATTATTAAAGAAGAGGATGTGCCAAAACTTACAATCATATATGATATGTACAAGAATGAGGAATATATGAAAAAGGCTTGTTTACCTAATAGGGTCGATGAATATTGTAATGCGCTTAGAGATTATATAAAGAAGTATAATAATATAACTCAAGCTATACTTAGTGAAATTCATGAACCCTTTAAAAGAGATATACTACCATCACATGGATATAATATTGGAAGTACTATTATAATTACAATTTTTGCAACATTATTAATATCAATTTTTTTATTTGTTTTATATGAGGTTAATTATTTTTTAATTTGTAAATACTTATACAACTAAACATTTTTCAAAATGATTCAAGAAAGTAAAAAGTTAGAGTATATAAATGTTATTTTGAATACATAATTTTTTATTTCTTAATATTTAGTTTACAACAATTGTTTCATGGTTACGTCGTACAATATTATGCAAAAGAAAAGGATTAAATAACATAGAAGAAAAATGGGAAAAATATGAAGGGTCTGATATATACTACACTATGTCAAGAAACAATGAAAATAATATATTATATCATTCTAAATAATGATTACATTAAATGTAAAATGTAAAAAATTAATAGCCTTATACAACATAATAAAAATTTAAAAGAATATATATGAAAAATATTTACAATCATGAATACAATAAAAATGTATAAATGTTTTTAAGTTTTAAAAAATTATGAGTTATAGTTTATATAATAAATAATGCTTTAAGCTAAATAATAAAATTATTTTGATTACATAATTCGATAATAAAATATGTATTAAGTAATAATACTCTAAATAAACTTCTTCTTTTTCATGCTTTCATATATTATAAATTAAATATATTATATGATAAAATAAATATATATATAGGTATGTACAAATAAAATTATTGTATATTATATAGGATTGTGTAATAATATAGGAAGAAACTGCTAATTCATTAAATAATTGAATATATGTAAAACAGATTATTTATTTATATGTTATTTTATCATATAGTTATGTTGAAATATATATCAAATTATTAAATATATATATTAATAATTAAATAAGGTTCTAATTGTTTTTGCAACAGTTATAAAATATTATTTTATTAGGAAAAGTATATATCTATATATTTATGAATTTTATGTGTAAAATGTGATTACATATAATAATACTATCATAACGGAAAGAAAAAATTATTATTTATATTTTACATATTACAGTTCGTTTTTATCCTATAAATGTTTTATATCCCTTTTTTATTTTTGTGTTCATTTATTAATAATGAATTTATTTGTAATTATTCTATGACACCCTATATGAACAGGGTTCAGTGTTTATGACTCAGGGTTCTGGTTTCAGTGTTCAAATTTCAGGGTATATGCTTCAGGGTTTAGGGTTCAGGTTTCAGTGTTCAGGTTTTAGGTTTTCTGGTTTTAGGGATTCTGTTCAGGATATATGTTTTATGTTTAGGTTATATTTATATTATTTTGGGAATAAAATGTTTAAGTATTAGTTTAGAATATGTGGTGTTATGTTATGGGCTTAATACATTTAGGTACAGTATTTTTTCTTCGTGTTTTCTGTTATCTTGAGAGTTCTTGTATTTATATTTTATATATTTAATTTTAATATTTAGTAACATTTTATAGTTTTTGTGTTAATGCTATAGTATTCTGAGTTTAGTTCGGATGCTCTAGCGGTTTCAGCTTTTGTTATGAATATTTATATATTTACAAATACTTTTATTGTAATGATTATTCTTATAATTTTTTATGTGATTATTTAAAATTTTAAAAATTATTCAACATTATTATATACTTAGAACGAATAAGTTAACATTGCATAAACAGTGAAATTTTTATATGTTATCAATCTATATATGAACTTTTAATATAGGTTGAAAATATATTGAATCTATATGATTCCTTTCTCTCAATTTAGTACTTTTAAGGTATTATATGTAATTTTAATTAACGGAATGAAGATATTGAAATACATTTTTGGTAATATATATACTTACTGGAATAATTTTTTCGTATCTGTTATTTTTTATCTTTTTTTATATGGTAATCTGTGTATATTTATGAATTTATACCGATCTTTCATTTTTTATGAATAACTATGCATTATATCAAATTACTGCACTATTAGTTTTCTTCCTGATAGGTAATAATATATTTTTATTTTGTTATATTTTTAATTAAATAAATGTGTAATATATATTTTAGCATATATGGAACTTTATATATTATATATAAAATTTATGCGTTTTTCTATTAAAATACTATTTAAATAAAAAACATGTGATATAAATTTGTATATATATTTTTATTATAA